AAAAAAAAAAAAAAAAAAAAAGAAGTAGCAAACACGTACCATAGACCAAAGTCTAGAAGATTCTACCCATGCAAAGAAAGATGTTTTATGGTTTATTTGCATATGGTGTATAATTCACATTTTTTCCCTATGTTCTCTGACTAGAAACCGTTTATTGGGTAAACTGGCAAGTGTGTCTTTGTCTAAAACCACAATATGAAATGTCCTTTCTTGAAAGTATATTTATATAGGGTGTTTAAGATGTTGTTATTCAGCAGAAAGGTAATTCCATTTGTTCTGCACCATGACCAGCACTTGGTATCTTCTGATTCTTATTTTAGACATGCTGATAGGTGTGTAGTGAAAGCTCATCATGGTTTTAATTTGCATTTCACTGGTAGGTGATGATAATCAATATCTTTTTATGTTCTTGGTTGTCATCTGTAGATCTCCATTGGTGAAGCATATTCAAATCTTGTTCATTTTTAAATTGGTTGGTTTATTACTGTTGAGTTTTAAAATCTTTATATATTATGGATACAAATCTGTTGTTAGATTTGTGCTTTGCAGTATTTTCTCCCAATCTGTGGCTTGTCTTTTCATTTACTTCTTTCCATTTACTTAACAGTGTCTTTCATAGAGCAAATGTTTTAATTTGGCGAAGTTGTTCAATTTATCCTTTTTTTAAATGGGGTATGTTTTGCCATGTCTAAGAAGCCTTTGTCTGGTCCCAGGTCCTGAAGATGTTCTCCTGTGTTTTCTTAGAAATGTTTTCTTGTTTTACATGTTACATTTAGATTTATGATCTATTTTGGGTTAACTTTTTTTAAAGTGTAAGGTTTATTATTTCGTGTTGGGGAGCACATGGATGGATATCTAGTTGTTTCAGCACCATTTGTTGAAAAGACTATTCTTTCTCTACTGATTTTCTTTTGTATCTTTGTCAAGAATTAGCCATATTGGTGTGGGCCTATTTCTGGACTTATTATTTTCTTTTGTTGATCTGTGTTTCTCTCCTTTTGCCAATACCACATGGTCAAGATTACTGTAGTTTTGTAATAAGTGTTAAAATCTGGTAGTGGGCCAGTTCGGTGGCTCAGCCTGTCATTCCAGCACTTTGGGAGGCTGAGGCTAGTGGATTGCTTGAGCCCACGGGCTTGAGACCTGCCCGGGCAACTTGGCGAGACCTTGTCTCTATAATAAATAAAAAATTAGCCAGGCGTGGGAGCGTGTACCTGTAGTTCTGGCTACTTGGAAGGCTGAGGTGGAAGGATCACTGGAGCCCAGTAGGTCGATGCTGGGGTGGCCGAGTGTGCCACTGCACTCCAGCCTGGGTGACAGAGTGAGACGCCAACTCAAAAAAATAAAATAAAATAAAATCTGGTAGTGTAATTCTTTCAGCTTTTTTCTCTTAAAATTATTTTGATTATCAGTCAGTTTTACCTTTTCATATACACTTCAGAATCAGCTTTTCTATACAAAAATCCTGCTGAGATTTTGCTTCAAATTGCATTAAATCTATAGATAAGTTTTGGGGAGAATTCACATATTAATATTATAGTGAATCTTTTAGTCCATGAACATGGCATGTCTCTTCATTTATTTACATCTTTGGTTTCTTTCACCAGCGTTTTGTGTGATTAGCATACAGAGCCTATGTCTATTTTGTTAGGTTTATAATTTTATTTTCTTGGAACTATTGTAAGTGGTATTGTTTTTCTGATTTTGGTTTCTACTTATTCATTGCTGGTATATAGAAACACAGTTTTGTGTGCGTGTCTTGTAACTTGTGTAACTAATACAGTACTCAGAATTTATAGCACTAAATGCCTATATTAGAAAAAGAACGTCTCAAATCAATGACCTCAGCTTCTACTTTAAGAAACAAGAAAAAGAGAAAATAGTATATACAGAAGATAGGAAATAAGTAGAACAGAAATTAATAATTCATGTTAAACCTTTAATTAAATTAAGATTTAAAGGGAATTTCCTCAATTTGATGAAGTACTTTTACAAATCTCCAGCAGACTTAATGGTGCATGTCTAGATGCATTCCTCCTGCTACCATTGCAAGGATGGCCAATCTCATTACTACTGAATATTTTACTGGAGGCTCTTGCCAAGTATGGTAAGGCAAGCAGAAAAATAAGAGGCATTGGAAAGGAAGATTTACAACTTCAGACATGACTTGTAAGAAAATTTGATAGTATCTACCTAAAAGCTGTTAAGATTAATAAGGCATAGTTTCAGGAAACAAAATTAATACCCAAAATAATATAGAAAATTAAACCAAAATCTGTTTTCTTGAAAAGCTCAAGAAAATTAGATAAGACATAGAAGACCAATGTCAGGAATGAGAGAGGTAACATCACTACAGACTCTACAATATTAATTATAAGATACTATTATGAACAACTTATGGCAATACATTTGACAATTTGAGTGAAATGCATTGCAGTTTCCTTAGGAGATACAGATTGTCTCAGTTCAGTCAGAAAGAAATATAAAACCTAAATAGCTCTGTGGAAGAAGTAGAATTTGAAGTTAAAAATCTCACAAAACTCTAGCCTTCAGTAGTAAATGTTACCGTGTATTTAAGGGAGAAATAATGTCTTTTTCTGCACAACCTCTCCCAGTAAATTGACGAGGAAGGAATATTAATACTTAGGAGGCCAGCATCGCCCTGATGCCCGAATCAAAGATGCTGATAAGAAAAGGAAAGGAGACAGTTAGTCCTCATGAAGGTCAACACAATAATGCCTAAAGTTTTAGCAGAATAAGGCCGACACATTATTCTTTCATAAAAAGGAAAATATGTCTTGACCAAACAGGAATGCAAAGTGATGAACATTTGAAAGTTAATGAATTAGTCATATTAACGATACAGGAGGGTGACCATATGATTAAATTAATAGATCAGAAGTTCAACATTTTGACAATTTACTAATAATTCATGTTAAAAACTTTAATAAAATTAAGATTTAAAGGGAATTTCCTCCAGCAGACTTAATGGTGCATGTCTAGATGCATTCCTCCTGCTACCATTGTGAAGATGACCACTCTACTTCTGAACATTTTACTGGAGGCTCTTGCCAGTGTGGTAAAGCAAGAAGAAAAATAAGAGGCATTAGAAAGGAAGATTTACAACTTCAGACATGACTTGTAAGAAAATTTGATAGTATCTATCTAAGAGCTATTAGGATTAATAAGGCATAGTTGCAGGAAACAAGATTAACACAAAATCTTGTATTTTTATATATTAGCCATGTGCAATCAGACACTGAAATTTAAATAATACAGTTTTGGCTAGACACAGTGGCTTTTGCCTGTAATCCCAGCACTTTGGGAAGCGGAGGCGAGAGGATTACCTGAGCCCAGGGACTTGACTAGCCTGGGCAACTTGACTACAGTAAATAAAAGGTCGAGGCTGCGGTGGCCGTGACCATGCCCTTGCACTTCAGCCTGGGCAGCTCAGTGAGATTCCAACTCAAAAAAAACCCCCAAAAGACAGTTTATAATGATGTCCAAAATCATCAAAATCTAAGGAATAATTGTGATAAAAGGGCTGAAAGACATGCAGTGAAAATTTAAAAAACATTGCTGAGAGAAATCAATGAAGATTTAAACGGAATATATACTGCATTCATGGATCAGAAGCTCACTACTCTTAAGTTGTCAATTTCCTCCAAAAAGATTCAACCCCATCTTAACCAGGTCCACATAGCCTTTTTTGGAAGGTAGAAGTTTATGAAAATTCTGCTTTCAAAATTTATATTTATTTGCAAAGAACCTACAATAGTCAACACAACTTTGAAAAATAACATTTGGCAGGATTGCACTACATGACTCCAAGACTTATTACAAAGCTACAGTAATCAGGACAGTATGGTATTGGTGTAAATGTAGGCACAGATCTATGGAATTTTGTAGGTCCCAGAAACAGAAAAATAATCTATGATCACTTGGTTTTTGGCAAAGCTAGAGAGGCAATTCAGT